TACAGCAACTAGAAGGATGTGAACCTATGACATACAACTATCTACTGGGGCTTTGGGGGGAAAAAACTGAATAAATAAAATCTTAAAAAAAAAAAAAAAAAAAAAAAAAAACTGGAATATTCCCTAGCATGTCTCCTGCTACACCACTGGGTTCAGAATTGCTGGTTTGGTAGCTAATTTCCAAAGCTATCACTGTAGCTCATTTCTATTGCTACTGACCAAAAACAACAAAAGAAAAAAAAAACAGTGACAGCGAGAAAAGTGACACACTTGTTTGATTTGATTTTCGTTTAAGATCCACTCTCAGTGGGGATAGAGGTGAGGGGACTGATTTCTTCCAACTATTCCCCTACCCTGGGCCTTGGGAAACATTCACTGAAATAGTCATCGAAATGGCAGACAAATCAATTTTTATTTCTTTTATTGGAGTTAATCCCTCTCTATTTGGTTGCTATTTTTTGAGTTGTCATCTTTGCCATTAATACTGAGAACACGGTTTCGCAAACAATTTTCTAAAGCAGGGATCAGTAAACTAGGGCCCCATCACTTGTTTTCGTAAATAAAGTTTTATTGGACTACAGCAATGCTTGTTCCTTTACGTACCGCACTGTTTATGAAGATTGTATTATTTGTCATGTATTGTGTCATTTATGTAGCTGCTTTTGAGCTACAATGGCAAAGTTAGGTAGGTGCCACAGAGGTCATTTAGCCAGCAAGACCTAGAATATTTACCTTCTGACCCTTTACAGAAAAAGTTTGCCCGTCCTTGTTCTAAAGGAGGAGAGAGGATGCTAGCTTATGGAAATTGGCACCCTCTCATCTTTGGTTTTTACACTACTGTGAGTGTCAGTGAGCATAAGTGATGCCATCTTGTTACACTAAATGGCCCCAGCCCCTCCTCTGTGCTACTACTCGCTGCTCTGCACGTACCCTAAAAAAAATCCTCCGCTTACCTATGTACTCCCTGATAGCTTGATAAATTAAAACTTTGTTCTCTGAGTTTCTCTCCAGGGACAGGCTGACCACAGGCAGAAACACAGCTACGAGGTATCCATCACAGCTGACAGAAGAATGGAACAATGTGATAACTGGAGCCCATCATGCCTGGAGACCAACATCCCTGGACCCCCTCCTTACTGCCCATTTTCCCTATATAACTGCCTCAAGATTCTGTAATCTTGGAAGATGGGTCTTTGAGACATTAGTCACCTGTCTTCCGATTTGCCAGTTCATCTAATTATACTTCATTTCTTGATCTCTAACTTGTTGTGATTAATTGGCTCAGATTGCAGTGAGCAGAGGGAGCCCATTGCTCAGTATCATGAGCACTATGCAAACTGGATATGGTGAGACCTCAGCATAATCGTGGTCTTATGGTGAGAGCTTTTCTCTCTGACCTCAATAACTGTCTGAGGATAATAAACTGGTCTTCTATTTCTTACAGTCAAGCAGATCATTAGTGTGATATCTCACAATACTTGGATCTCTTCTCAGTAGGAAAGTGACCAACCTTCAGAATTCCTGTTTCTGTGGAGTGTGTGGTCTTGGCAAAGACAATTTATTTTCTCCCATTCTACCCAGTAGCTGCCTGGAGTGTGAGTAAGGTCATAAAGCATCTGACATTATCTCAAAGAGATGTGTGTGTAACTTCTCAGTTCAACACAAAGATTTATCGTCAATTTACGATATGTCAGACATTGTACTGGATGCTACGTACTAGACGAGTAAGACACAGTCACAGCCATAGGATGGTTAAATGTTTACCTTAAAGAGAAACTTATGTCCTCATCACAGCAGTGAAGTTGGGCTACATCTTGGACCCTAATCAGATATCTGTTTACTTCTGATATAGTCTATGAAATCAAAAACAAAATTAGAAACGTGCATAAATGGTTAAAAATAAGTCCCACCACTGCAGAACAATTTTATGTCCCAGAAGATGCAAGTGTTGAGGAGAACTCAGTTCAATTATGAAAAAGCAAATGTTTTCATTGTTTATAAAACAAGTTTTCCTTAGAAAGACCACAGAATTGACCATGAAAACTATTTAAGGATGTTGTCTAATTTTTAAAACTACTGACGGGGCCCGTCCAGTGGCGCAGCGGTTAAGTGCACTCGCTCTGCTTCGGCGGCCCAGGGTTCACAGGTTTAGATCCCGGGCATGCACTGACGCACTGCTTGTCAAGCCATGCTGTGGCGGCATCCCATATAAAGTAGAGGAAGATGGGCACAGATGTTAGCCCAGGGCCAACCTTCCTCAGCAAAAAGGGGAGGATTGGCATTGGATGTTAGCTCAGGGCTGGTCTTCCTCACAGAAAACAAAAAAAAACTACTGAAATTATTGTTTTATTTATAAATGCTTTCCTAGTATCAAAAATAAAGTAGGGTGGGGGTGGGTTAGAAGGGTCTATCAAGAACAGAAAGTGAGTGGATTGTTACAAATTAAGAAGTTGGCCCTGTGCTCCTCTAGCCCTGGAGACGGTCACTGGTGTGAGCAGTGACCCAGAGATAAGTTCTGTGGACTCTGTGAGAGCCAAGATGTGCCATTTTGTAATCCAGTCAATTCCACTTCTCTTTCCCTACCAAAATGTGCAGATCTAAATTCTGACAAAACAACTCCATCTTTCTTCCCCAACTGACAAAATAAAAATAACATTTCCAATCAATTGATACTTTTTTATTCAAAATAACTCATACATTGAGCTCCTCCTATATACCAAACACTAGAAGACAAGTAAATCACAGTTAGTTTCTGATGGAGCTCCCAACCCAGGGGTAAAGGAGGGCAATAAAATGTGACAGGTGTTCAGGGTGCTGCAGCATACCTAGGAAGGGGGAACTCACGGCGGGAGATGTCGGGGGAACTTTAAAAGGAAGATGATGATTGAACTGGATTTTTAAAGGATGAACAGGAGTTTATCCAGTGGAGTAGGAAAGAAGGGCAATTTCCGAGAAGGAAGAGCATAGGCCAAGCACAAACGTGTGAGGAGAGACCAACGTTACTGGACAACTGTGAGTAGACCAGTGTGGTTGATCATAAGGTGGTAGCAAGGCAGAAAGAGAGCAGGTAGAACGGGACCAGATAGTGTTCTGTAGGGAACAGACAGCCAGCAGAGACTTCTAAGATTTTTTGAGATAGCCTCAGCCTCAGCATCCTGCATTAGTGCTAAGTGCAGGGAGATATAAAACAGCAGGAGACATGGCCCCGTTCCTCAGAGGGGTCATGATCACAGCGGCACAAGCAAGGAGCTGAGACTGCGGAAAAGCCGTGGGATGGTGTGAAGCCCATGTGAACCTCTTCTCATAGAGCATATCTGCAGACGGCACGGATGTGAAATGTGGGAGCTCGGCACCTGGCATGCAGCAGGTATTCAACAGATGTAAGCTGAACCGAAACCTGCAAGTCTCCTTTTGCCAATGACTTGAGGTTATTACATTCATGAGCAGGAGACGTAGCAAGTATATCAGAATACGTACAGGGCATCCCCAGATGATTCTCTGTATGTCTGACAGCTGCTCTTTCATATTGATGTTTTGCTTCATCTAGAAAACAAAGTGATTTTAGGCAAACTAAAATTATGAAATTTTTATACATAAACAATAGATTTAAAATATTTTATGGCACTTGATACCAGGCTTGGTATTTTTATAAACTATAAGAATCTCAATTTCACATACCCAATGTTTTAAAACGAAGAGGCAAGTGACAAGACTATTCAAAAAGCATCTTCTGGGCATAATGTGTTATCAGTTTACACAGCCCGGACACCCCTGCAGTATGCACATTAGGGATATTTTCAGAATGACAGTACTGTACTCCAAGATGCTGAACTCTTTCAGAGAATAATTATGATTGCTGTACATACTCAGGCACGAAAGTTAATTAATACATTAAGAAGTACTTTCAGAAACAAAGAATTTTAGTTTTTTTTCTTTTAGTTATTTAGAAAAATCAATCCAAATACTCTATTCTTCAAACTGTCATATTAACAAAGGTTTTATTGTACTTATACAGATGTCTGAAAATATTCTGTCTCATGTTGTTTGGCTTGGAATAGATGCCCTTAGTGCTCAAAATCACTGAACACAGTGATTTCGCATTAGAAGGATGAAAGATTTTGTTTGAACAAAAGAACACCATAAGAAGGTAAGGTATTTCAGGATCTTGGAGTCAGAGTACCACAAAACACTGTAGCATTTTTATCAACAACCAACCTGATCTATATAACCTTTATATTGTTTGATTTGGTCAATTGCAGTGGTCAAGTCACCACGGTCAACATGTTCTGCAGGGGTATGAAGCCTCAGAGCGTAGAGAAGATTAAGATATTCCTCAAATCTTCGGGATGGGTACAGAAGCAGCTCCGGAAGGCTGTAGGAGGCACAGGGAAGGGAACCCCAGTCTCCTGAAGGTCAAGCATGCCCTGACTGGGGGCCCTGGCTGTGCTCTGCCTCAGAACCCACCTCAGCATGTTCGTCACAACAGTGTGGTCACGCCTCTTCAGGAAAGCTCGGAACGCTGGCATCATTTCTCTGCACTGAAGGTGGGCATTACACTGTCACAACTTTGCTCTGTAGGTCAGCCGCAGAACGCTCCGTCCCACCAGGCGAGCGTGATCCACCTCTGGCCACAGTGTCCTGAGTCCTCTTGGTGCCACTGACATCCTGAGTGTAGTGTGTTAATCATGCCATGACCCTAACCTACTCATTGACTTAACCAGTGTAGACAAATGGGAATGGACCTCGCAACCAGGTGGGCCTGGATTAGAACTGGAATTCTAATTTAGTTTATCTAAGTCTGTGTGACCTCGTCCAGTTATTCACCTTCTCTGAGCCTCGGTTTGCTCAGGGATTTCATGCCTGACTCTTGTGGTGGGGGATCCTATCCATAAGTGCCTGTTACATGGCAGACGTTGTTTCCTTAGAGTAAGAAACAGCTAACGGTTTTCACCTGCAATACCACGTTACTCTCGTTGTCCACAGTGACGCTATAGAAGTGCTTCCCTGTACCTAATGCCTGTGTTAAAATGTGTTCATTCGTCACCAGTGGAGCACCCTAGAAGTTACCTCATTTTTCTCAGTACATACATGCCTAAAAGATGCCAGGATTGCTAATTTCTAGAAATCAAATATTCACTGATTTAATAATATTAATAGCTAACATTTATTGAGGACCTACATGCACACCCTATGCTAGTGAAATAGATATCATTATTATCCATAACTATAAAAATGTTGGCACCACTTTGTTTATGATGATACGTGACACTTGGCTCCGATCCTTGGCCTAAAGGTCAGATCTATGGAATTGCCTGATTCATGGAACTTGCACATAATTGAGTGGTCCAGCAGTGTTTAAACTCCCTTGGTGGGGCAGGAGTTTACAAAGGAGACGTCTGAGGTCAGGAATCATCCAGAGACCTCCCAGCCCCAGGCCTTCCCTCCAGGGCCTCAGTGCAGACAGGGGACACAGCCAAAGGGGGCACAGTGGACACTGGCAGAAGTGCGACACCGTGTCGCAAGGTAGCCTCTTCTGCTACTTTTGATACACACTGAGGAAGGAAGAAAGAGGGACCTTATTGCCATCAGAAGAGATCTCAACAAGAGCAGCAAGCGATGCAGAAGGCAGCTGAATGTTCCTGCTCAGACTGCATACGGCATAAGTCACGACGGGAAAATTGCTTATCACGAAATCTCTAAGGAATGTGAGAAAGAAATTCCTTATTTCGTAGTGAGATCCCACAGATTGAGTGTCCTTATTCCAAGAAACATATGGATTATTGATTCCTTTTCTCCGTAAGAGAGCTGAACTTGTTAAGGCCACACAGGCCTGCGGCGGCCAAGGGAATCAGAGCCTGTGATCCTGCTTCTACCTAATTGTTAACCACTTCCCTGTCACTGAGCCACAGGGTGAATGGGGCAGATGAAAGTCTGCAATTTGTACAAGGACTAGTTCAGTCCCACAGCCAGTTGCTTGTGTGTAAAGCACTGTGCTGGCCCCTAGGATACAAGATCAAACAAGTCGGAGTCCCATCCTCACGGAGCTCACAGTAAGCTGGGGGAGACCTAGAAGCTAAGAGGAGAGAAGGAATCTTTCCTAGTAATTCTAGTCCTTTGCAATCCACCCAAAACGTCCTTTCAAGCTCAGAAAGTCTACGGAATGCCTGGATGGTAACTCAGTCGTTTACCTTCTCAATCGTTTTCAGAACAATAGGGTAATTGTTGAAGAAATTGGTGTATGTGTTCAACTGGTTCCCAAACTTTATGAATATTTCTCCCACACAGTGAGCTGGGCTCCATTCCTGTAGTCTGTCTCTCAGGTTACCTAGAAACTGCCTGCAAATGAGAAAAGCATGACCATGAAATATTGCCCAGTGATGACCTACAAACTTCAAAAACAAATTAACTGTCATTACTGCAGCCTGTTCCAGCCTGGTCATCGATGGCAGAGCTTTTGCCCAATACTTCTGTCTTGACACAAGGCAGTGCAGATCTGACAGGACAGGAGGAGTTGACTTCCCCTTAGTTCCCAGAGTCGGAAGCCCAGGCTGGCCTCCAGGGGCTGGGCCTCACTATCCCATTCCCTCAAGGCCAGCCAGGCAGGCAGGTGAAGCTTCTTACAGTCCTCAGGGGACAGGGCTCAACTTCCTTCAGCAGCGAGTGCCATAACCCTCTCTCGACCCATGTCCCGGTGGATTACTCCCTCATTCAGCTGTCAGAGGCCTAGTCCAACCTCTTCATTCTGTGGGAGCTGGGGCCCAGTGAGGGTGAAGAACTTGTCACAAGTCACCCGGAGAGTTACCAGCAGAAGCACAAGCACAGCTTGTCCACTCGCCACGGCGCAGATGATCACTTCTCTGTTACTGTTACACACCCGACACACGCTGTTATCAAGCTGACCCCCAGCCACGGGTCCTCTAAGCAATTCTAGTATCCTAGAGATTTAATCTCAGTGACTCCTTCGGTTCCTTTCCCATTGCTCGACTAAACACTGCTGATTAAGAACAGCCCCAGAGGGCTCTCCTTCCCACTGTCTTTTGCATGAACAGTAGATTAAATACGGAATCCCCAGGCACTGAACTCCACTCCTTGTACAGTGGCTTTGAATGGAGGCCAGAAGAAGCCCCTGAGAATCATCACTCCTGGTTGCAGCCCAGTGGCAAGAATCCTCTCTCTTCTGTGAGATGATCAGGGTCCCAAGGGGGCAGGGAATGACCAAGCCTCTGTGCAGCTTTCAAACAATTAATTGTAGATTCCTTCCACCACTCCCACCTTGAATACGTATTCAAGGCTTACCTGTTGAGACTTAAAATCCGCAGACTATCAGAGAAAATGCTCTGGATGTTTGCGGCGCTCAGAATTGCTCGATTTGAGGACAGTGCTGCTTTCAGTGGCGTTACATAAACGTCCCTCACGATTTCCAGCGTCTGCACGTACCTTCTCTCACTCTGTAAGAGCTCCCTGACAATTCCAGTTCGCTTTTCGGCTGAATCCATCTGGAGCTTTCTCTCCTGTAAAAAAGCATTAAGAACTTGTAGGGACAGCGCAACGACTCTTCCCAGGCTCTGTTGTTAGTGCCATTGAGAGGATTCCGACAACTAGTGACCCTGTGGACAGCACAGGGAACCCTGCCATCTTTTTGCGCCATCCCCTCACCTTCCGGTGCTCTATCAGACAATGCTCTGCTGCTATTCACAGGGTTTTCAAGCCCCACTTTTTGGGAAGTGGGTGCCCAGGTCCTTCCTCCTAGTCTGTCTCAGACTGGAAGCTCCACTGAAACCTGTCCACCATGGTGACCCTGCTGGTATCTGAAATCCCAGTGGCCTAGCTTTCAGCATCACGGCAACACACAGGCGCCACAGTGTGACAGCAGACAGACGGGGGGTGTGGTTCCCTGACGGGGACACGATCCCGGTCTCAGAGGTAAGAGCGCCGGATCTAACCACTGGACCGCCAGGGCTGGTCTTTCCAGGCTTACAGACTCAAAAAGCCAGATGTCAACAGAGATGGAGAAAAGGAAGCAGTGAGCAATCAGGCAGTCACTCTCAGATCCCCCTTTCTGGTTTGTGATACGCAGGGTAGCGGGAACATTGAGAGGGGACTAGGGAGGACCCCGCTGACCATCCTTGTCCCCAGAATCACCAGGTAGCCCTCACATCAGGCACCTGATGCCGTAGCAGAAAACGGACTTTTACTCCTGAATCCTGACGGGAGCATTTTGAGACCTGACTTTCATCCATCTGCCCATCAAGGGCTGGTTCAGGGTCAGTGCTCGTTGCTGGTCACTCAGTGACGAGGACACAGGGTCTGGCCCTCGTGGACGTGACTCTGAGCTGCCCCCTCTTACTCATTTTCCTAGTTCCTTTCCCAGCAGTGTTCCCAATTACCCTGCAGGCAGAAGAACTGAAATGAGCTGGTCCTTTCGTCGTCAGCTGATTTGCTGCCCACTGGCTTATAACGAAATACTGAAACTCACGCTCCTCTCTCACATGTGCTGTGAGAAAGGTGCTGACTGGGGACTGTGGACCCTCCTGGGGAGCAGGAGCCAGACGTCCTGTGTCTTCTAGATTTCAAAGTCCTGTTTTATTTTCTAATGCAGAAGGGAAAATCACACACTGGTGTAGAGGAAGCCACCAATATCCACAATCCTGATATTGTGTGTGCTGCACTCATATATGGAGAAATTAATTTTCATTACTGGGACTAGGCAATTCTTTTTATTTTCTCTGTACTTTTCAAATATTATAAAATGAGTGTGTTTATAATAGAAAACCATTACAATATTTAAATTTTTAAAATTCAGTGGCCTTGTGTTTGAGTCTAGAACTGTTAATACTGTTAGAACACCATTTCCTCTGTGCCCTCTAGCCCCGAGTTTGCCCCATACTGCCCCAAATAAAATAAGACAAGACTAAGGGTAATGCCATGTGACCTTCACCCAAATAAGTCAACCATAATCTCATGAACTAAAAGTTAAATGTAAAAAGTAATTTAAGGGAAAAATGAGAAAACTCACTCTGTTTGAAATACTATAAACGCACTATTCTTGGTTAAGTGTTATCTTTCAAACACATGGCCTGTATATAATGCCTATTTAGACTTATCCACAATTAAAACTACATCTGCGGGCTGGCCCCGTGGCTTAGTGGTTAAGTGCGCGCGCTCAGCTGCTGGCGGCCTGGGTTTGGATCCCGGGCGCGCACCGACACACCGCTTCTCCAGCCATGCTGAGGCTGCGTCCCACATACAGCAACTAGAAGGATGTGCAGCTATGACATATAACTATCTACTGGGGCTTTGGGGGGGAAAAAAAATAAATAAAATCTTTAAAAAAAAAAAAACTACATCTGCATCTCACTTGGCAGTTCGCTTGCAACCTATATTATATTTTTATGGGTATGTACGTACATTTTTTTTTTAATATTGGAGTTATCCAACCTTTATAATCATTTTGACTTAAGGTTTCAGTTGTAAAACTGTTCACTGTTGTCTTAAAACTGTTGTCAGGTGTTACTATCAACGGCCAGATGAGATGGCATCACATCCACTGCCCTGTGTAAAGGCTCCTCCTTGTCATCCTGGGGCTGCACTCGGGGTGAGTGAGCACCACGCCCGCAAACCCGAGGTCTGCTCTGTCTGCAGTGGTGGATTTGCCCAGCGCAGTGGGGCTGGGTGCAGCCCGGCAGGATTCAAGTTTCTTTTTCTTCCAGGTGTCTGACCTTAGGGAAGTCATTTAACTTTTCTAACTTTAGCTCCTCATCCATAAAATGTGGTTACTAACATCTACTTTACAGGATTCTGAGAAAGAAATGTGATGATAATAAATGTGTGCATGTATTCAAGAAATGGAAACAGCACGCGCATGCTATGTATTAGGGCAGGACAGGACCAACCCTCTGCTTATCTGGCAGCCTCCTCCACGCACTCCCCTTTCTACATGGAAAGACAGACCCCTGAAAGTTATACTGATTAGACACCATGTTTGAATTGGGTCTAAGCTGGTGGGTCAGTTGGAAATGGTGAGCCTCTGTGTCCACGTGCCCTTTCTGTAAATGCTGTCCTGGTGTCATAATGGAAAACCGAGGAGCGGCATAGAGATTGCTCTTGCTGCCAAGATGTTGCCCCTCCATCCTCTTGGCTCAATTTCCTTCAGTCTAGGGCTTTCTCAAAAGAAAAATCTACCACCTGGATTCCCCCAACTGTATTTGGGGTTTTTTTCCCCTAAGGGAAACTTGCAAGAAAAAAGAACTAACCAGAAAAAAAGCTGAAGATTTTTTTTGTCAGGAGCAAAACAAATGGAAAATTTTTACTATGTAATAATTGGCTTACCAGCTGAACCAGCACCTCAAAATTTGGATCACTTTGGCTGAGACTTGACTTTTTGTCCTGAGGATTGTCTTCCATAACATTTCTTTCCTGAGGATTAAGTGCAGACGATTATTTGAAGGCAGGACTTGGGACCTGTGAGCGCCCCGTCAGGGCTGTGCCTGCAGGAGGCTCTCAGGAGATCTGCTTTTAGCCCTAATCACAATATTCTCCAGACACAATGAATTAAGCACTTGACAAATTTGATGCCTCTCTTAAATCAAATTTTATGATTTAAAAAATAACGTTTAGCTTACTCTGAACTACGTTATTCTTGAGAAACTACACTCAGGGCATCCCGCTTTTCCCTGGGAGCCGGGGGACGGATACTGCTCTTCAGCACCTCCTCACAGGCTCAAGGAACCTGCTCTGTTTTTCGTCACTTGAGAGCAAATAGGTTTCTTACTTTTAAGAAGCCAGAAGAAAAAGCTCACAGCACTTTCTAAAATTCATCCCTTTCTTCACCTAATGAAAATGTGTCAGAAACAACTCACGCGCCATTTCTAGACCTGTCTGTCTCCACATTTAAATATGGCTTATTCTTCCTTCACTTTACCTTGTTAATTGTTCTTGTGGCTTCCATATACATTAGCACATCAACAAAGAATGGCCGCCTCTGCTGCCTGCAGCCTCCCAGGTTCCCTCAAGCAGAGGAGTGACTGTCCCACATTTGTGCCGAAAGCTGCTGCTGAGTGGTCATTCCTGCTGCCCTTCCCGTTCAAAGATGAGACTCCCTACGGCAACCCCCTGAGGTCCGCTTGTGACCAAGATTCCTTTTGCCTTACTCTGCTCAGGCAAAAACGAATTTTTATTGTGTATCTGCAGCCACTCCTGATGGCTAAGCACTTCACGTCGGCTCCAGAGTCTTCCCTTCACTGTTTGGTCTCCCCCATCGTGCTGTCCCATGTCAGCCTGGCAAGTATTTATACTTGTGTTAGAGGAAAAAATTCTACTTTGAATTTTGACAAAATAATTCAAAATTTCTATGAGTGAAACATTCTCTTCTTTCAAAAAAATAATAATGCTGATTATTTATATAGAAAAATGATAACTTCAACCGGTCAGTGGTGACAACAATAGTTGTGTAGGCAGAAGTGGTTGCAGACAAAAAATTAAACTCAAACTGTCTGGCCCAAGATTGAGAGAACCCAAACAGTGGAGAATCCAAATCAGTGTAAACACTACAAGCACACAGATCCAGTCAGGCCTGACGGGGCAGCAAGATGAAAGACAGAGAGAGAGAGACAGATGAAAGGTAGATAGATGATAGGTAGATAGATAGATAGATAGATGACAGACTGATAGACAGATGATAGATAGATGATTGATAGGTAGATGATGGATGATAGATAGATGATAGATAGATAGATAGATATAGATTATAGATAGATATAGGAAGATAGATAGATGATAGATAGACAATAGGTAGACAGATAGATGGATAGATGATAGGTAGATAGATGATAGATTGATAAATAGATGATTGATAGATGATAGATAGATGATTGATAGATAGAGAGATAGAGAGATAGATATAGATAGACGATAGGTAGGTAGATAGATAGATGATAGATAGATGATAGATTGATAGATAGATGATTGATAGATTGATAGATAGATGATAGATGGATAGATGGTTGATAGACAACAGGAAGATAGATGATAGATAGATGGATAGATAGGTGATAGGTAGGTAGATGATTGATAGAGATGATTGACAGATAGATGATAAATGATTGATAGATGAATGATAAATTGATTGATAGATGCAGAGAATTCTATACGTGTATCTATCTGTATACATGTATATACATATGTGTGTATGTGTATCCAGTTCTGGATTTGGCAGACAAGCCCTCTTACATGAGCCCCTACGTAAGGGTCTTTAAAGCAATTATCTCAGTAGAAGCCATTACTGTCCACTCCTGTGGCTGTGAGTTTGTGTGCTCTTCTGGATGAATACTGACAGGTTTAAAAATAAACCCCAATGTGTGCAGAAACTCAGCTTCTCTATTTTATCCTAATTCAGCACCTACATTTAAGCTGTGGTTTTTCCTCCTGGGGTCCTCAACTCTGTTTCATGGGCTTTGTGCACAAGTTCTTAAGAGTTAAATAATAGAAAACCAAATAAGAATCTAACATATTTTTTCTAGTTTGATTAAAAAATATACGTATCAAAGAAATTCCTGGGCATTAAGGAGTTTCACATTTTTGTAGTTTTATTACAGGCAGGTGATGTAACACTGGCAGGCCTGATTTCAGCAATGAGGCAACCCTAAGCCCAAACTTGCTGCATTATTTTATTAAAGTGATTTGACGTTTAGGTCAACAGCAGATTGAAAAGACTTAACTCAGTGTAGATTTTATTTGGCAGAGGAAAGAATGACAGTGTCTTTGAGAGGAAATGTTCTAAGTGGCCCTTCTTCCAGACGTCAGAAATTCCAGGAAGGGTTCTCACCAAGAACAGGTCTCTCAAATGTAAAATCAACACTTCAGAGGAGGAAGCACCTATAGCTCTGTCTCAACTGCTTTCTTCAAGTTTTCTTGCTCCAAAGAGGGGCATTTCCGGGGTCTGTATGTCCATGGTCAGGGTGACAGCCTCACCCTCTGTCCTGGTGGATGGAAGAACCTCAGTAAGGTCCACAGGGAGTCAAGAAAGACCCAGAAGTCATAAGGACTTGGGAAGAATTTGGAGCGTGTGTAATGTGGTTACATGTTGATTATTCCTGTTAGCACCACTGAGTTGACTGACAGAGGCACAGTCAAAAGTTGGCATAGGGGAAGCCATCCTATGGAGGGAAACCACGTCGGAACTACGTATGACCCTGACTCTCCAGACAGCCCCTGTAAAGACGCTTTAGTTTGCACGTAGCCTAGATAATTAAGCACCTGTCTCCAGGGGACACGCATGCTCTGTTAGCTTTATGGCCCCAGTTTACAAGTAAACCTCACTGTTGCAATAAGGCAATAACTTTGTTCTTTAAGTCTTCTCTGGAAGGTACCGACCTCCGGGAAGAAAGCCCTATGCTGGTATCCATCACCAGTGACAGAAAGAAGAGATGATATGGTGTCTCAAGGTCTGCAACACCAGATGGTCGACATTCCAAGACCTGCTTTTTCAGCCCATTTGCCCTATATAACTGCCTCAAGATTTTGTAGTTTTAAGATGGTTCTTCTGGACGTTAGTCCCCCCATCTTCCACCTTGCTGGCAAGCTGTAAAAAACACCTTTCTCTCCTACCTCCTTGCTCTCGACTGTTGGCTTGTCTTGTGGGGAGTAGAAGAACCCCGCTTTTTGGCAGTAACATTCCCTTTAGTGAACCGATGGAAAATGAGTGTGACTGGGGCCCTGGGTCCTATTTGTCAAGGCTTTCACTGGCTGAAGGATGGGGGAGACTACATCCACGCTTCAGGGAGAACAATGCTCAAGAATCTCAGAGAGATAGTGGCTGCCATAACAAAGCAGAAGGACTCTGAGAAGCAGAAAGGGAATCTGGATTAAATACCCGCCTTGGTGTCCCCATCCCCTCCTGGTCCCATCCCCATTGGGGCCCCCAATGCCTCCTGCATTCTGCTAACAGGAACCAACCACGCTGCTCATCTATTTATGTGTAGATCTCATCCACCTCCAAGGCAGGTACTGTGTCTCATTTTACATCTATTCCCAGGGCCTAAGGCAATGCCCACCACATGGCTGGTTCCTATAAATATTTAGGGAACTGAATTGGGAAGATGGGGATTTGACCTCTGCCCAAGAAGTCTTTTGTGATGGTTAGTTTTATATGTCAGCTTGACTAGGCCATGGAATACCCAGACATTTGGTCAAACGTTATTCTGGATGTGTCTGTCAGGGTGATTTTGGATGAGATTAACATTTAAATTGGTAGACTGAGTAAAGCAGATTGTCCTCCCTAAGGTGGTGGGCCTCATCCAACCAGTTGAAGGGTTGACTAGAACAAAAAGCCTGACCTTCCTGCAAATGAAAGAGAATTCCTCCTGCCTGACAGCCTTCACACTGGGATGCTGGCTTTCTCCTGCCTCTGGACTGGAACTACACCATCAGCTCTTCCCGGGTCCACAGCGTGCTTCCTCACCGTGCAGACCTAGCACTTGTCAGCCTCCATACTTGCATGAGCCAATTCCTTATAAAAAAGTCCCTTTCTACACATATATCCACATCCTATAGGTTCTGTTTCTCTGGAGAACGCTGACAAACACGTGGTCCACAGTGTCTCCCGACAAGACAGACTGAGGGGTGGAGCAGCAGGGAAACAGGCTCTGACCACACAGGGCCTAGAGGTCCCCAGAAAGGGGGTTATTAAGGCTCCTCTCAGGCAGGGTGCTTGTGGCTGGGAAGAACAAGCTGCTTGGGGGGAGGGGGTTCGACTAAGGGGCATGCTCTGGGAACAGGAGAGGGTGGGTCTGCATAACTGCAGGCCTTTCATTTTGCTGAACAACTTTGGGGCAGCTTGGAGGAGGGGACGCTGCCGCCAGGGGTCCTCCTTGTCCGCCCATCCCTGCACCCTGCTCTCCTCTAAAGAAGTGTTGAGGAAGCTTCCAGATCATCAGGTGAATAGGGAGCAAATGGCTCACCTGCGGGGGAACTACTAACAGTCTCCATGGTAAGCTTGCTTCAGGGGTGGAATCCCAAGCCTTCAGTCACCAAGGATAGGTGCCTTGTTGGCATAAAATGACATTTTCAGAGAAATCAGCTTTCTGAGTGAGAATGCAATTTGCAGTGTTTCCTGAATCCTGATTATTTCACTTAACCAAGAATGTATGGATTCTGAACATAGTCAGTCAAGCTGAACAACTAGCTTCAAACCCACTTGTTTTTTCTTTTATGAATTTGAATCTCAACTAAGAAAAAAAGAACCATTCTTAGTTTCACAAAAAAAAAGTTTCCTGGGCTGCAAATGAAAAAAAAAAAAACTCTCTTTAGGTTAACTCAGGACTCAGCTGAAAAGGTGCCAGTGTGCGATTCTCCCCCACGACCAAATGGTGCTGCTCTGGTCAACATGGCACCACTTTTGCTTTTAAGCAAACTACAAAGCACTCTTTTTTATAATAATCCGTGAGAATGAAGTTCTTAGGAGAAATGACAAGTTGAAAGCTTTCCCTGTAGAATGATCACGACTGTGTATGAATTTCTTAAGCACACGTGTCTAATGGCAGTGAAGCCACAGCACCAAGTCACAGCGACAACTTTACCTTCGTGAATAAACGGAGTGTTGCCTTCAGGTCACATTTTGTTAGAATAACATTTCCTTCAAAGTCTTCGCTCTTTTTACTACATTTCTTCAGCAGAAAATATGACAAATATTCCAGAGGTTTGTTCTGAAAAATCCACCCCCCCCCAAAAAAAAGAATTCGTACTTAAAACATTCATCTGAAATACATGCCAACAAAAGTGTAGCAGAAAAGAGAACCCATTTGTGGGTAGAGTTTCAGCTTTCTACCTAATTAACCTGTAAGTCCAGAAAACAAAGTAACTATTGTTCAATTAGAGTCAGTAAATGGGAATTTTTAGTTAATTTTGGTTCTCAACTCATTGTCACTGTCCAGTTAGGATGCCAAGGTCTTGTGGAAGGATCTCAGGATCCTCAGAATAAAGTGGCCCACATGGGCCTCCCAGCCCGACGAGGAGGGGACAGGAGGAACCTCGCCTCACAGGGAAGAAGCCTGGGCGAGACGCTCCAGCAGCACAGTCACCGAGAAACCACCCCGGGAGACCCCACACTCGGTTCCCTCATAGGCTATGCTTGAGCACCACTGGAACTATATCATACAGATAATTTAAAATAATCAGGTGGCGATAAGTTTACTGCACCTACGCCAAACACGTTTAATAATCCTTTGGTGTTTGGGGTCAGTGCAAGATCTTTCAGGCCTCAGGGTCGTCCCTGTGAACATCCCTGATCATATTATCAGCAGAGCTCACCAGGGCCTTTATCCCTGGGCTGCCTGCGGGTTGGCTAGAGCACTGAGGAGCTGGGCCTTCAGAGGAGACAGAGCACGGGAAACTGTAACTTCTCAGACCCACACGGACAGCTGACCCGAGATGTCTGGTGCTCACCCAGGAAGCCATGTTGAAACCAGAGCAGACAACACGATAGACAAGGAGAGCGCGTGCAAAGACACTGTTACACTCACCCTCAAACAGAACTACTCCAGGGGAGGCTTTGAGAGTCTTTCCTCGGAGAACTAAAGACCTTGTGTAGCCTCAGGTATGTTAGCATCATCCCCAGTCCTATACTGTTCTCCACTCCTACGATCTCCTCTTCCTACAGCCCTGCTATTGTCCTGGGCGGGGTGTGTTCACACTGCTTCTCCTCACCGCTTCCTGCTACTGGGCTGACTCTTCTGGGAGAGGATCCACGATCCGTTTCTGATTAAAATGCTTCTTCAGGGGCCCCCATGCTTGTCCCCAACCAAAGCACTGATTTGCTTATTTTCGTTCTTTTGTGTTCTTTCCTTCCTCTTTCATTCAGCCTTCTTTGCCCTTCATCTTTTTGTGTCTGGTTTCACACTTTCTCAGCTCTTCTGTCATACGATTAATTGTTTTAACTGTTGAATAATGTTTATGTGAAATATAAAGCCACTAAGGTGTTTTTGCAACAAGTCACTTCTGAGTGAAATTACTCACAAGACAGAAAATTGCAAAATGTCTTCAACTCTAAATCCCCCAGAGGATTGTCCTATCCATCTGTTTTGTGTACCCAATACATCTTAGGCCCAGAATCTGAGTGGCTATTTTTATAAACTGATGCAATTTCTCTGAGGAATTGTGCCCCCAAAGGGATAAACTGGTAAAAAACAATAAATAGGAACTAAAAATTTATTTAAGTGTTGGGGCTTTTGTAGTTTGTTTTATTCATAGAAACACTTACAGAGTTTTCTTTTGAAAGTTCTGTCAATCCGTCTGCCAAAGTTTGTGCAATTCCTTGGTTATTCAGAATGTTGTCCATACTCATGGTGTCAAATATAAATTGCCCTGTAAATATAAGGCCATGTGCTAGTAATTAATTTATGTAAGAGACCTGATCAAGGAGAAAACTCAGTCCTCACAGTTGCTTGTTAGTGGATAAAATGCAAGAATAAGAATAAAAATCCTATTATGCCATGAGGATTATCTACCACAATAAAATATAAAATGAGCAAAAGCAACTAAATGTGCAGCATATAAAAAGCACCCACCCTGGCAAAGCTGATGTTGAATGAAATCTATAAACTGGACAACAAGAGAGAACACTCAAAAATGAACATTATAAATTTAAAGTTTATATTCTCAATTCTACCAAAAATTCCTCCACACTCACTCCCCTTTATCTTTGTGCTCAAATGCACAAATATTTTAAGTCCACAGGAAATAACATACGAACATACACACACAGACATCTTTTACATTTTTGATGTTTTGAACTTGCTTTTATTTGAAAACAATTTTCTTCTCATTGCTTACATATATCATCAAAAAAATACTTCTATCTATCTTTAAAAAGTTAATCTTTCCATTTTTCTCTTTAGTCCTTAATGTCTGTGAAAAAACGGAGAAGCTAAGTTCTCCCTTATAACCTCATAACTATTTTTCTGTGTGTGTGAGGAAGATTGGCCCTGAGCTAACACCTGCTGCCAATCTTCCTCTATTTTGTATGTGGGACACCACTACAGCATGGCTTGATGAGCAGTGTAAGTCTGCGCCCAGGATCTGAACCTACGGGCTACCAAAGCGGAGCACGTGAACTTAACCACTACACCACCGGCCAGTATATTTTTAAATATTGGCTGAACATCTTCTAAATATGGTAGAGTTAAAACCAAGATAACAAATCCTGGTTTTGGAGGCATTTATGTAAAGAATGTAAGGACGTATGCTGACAGATGAAATATCTGCATGCATACTTGTGTGCTACAGCTCCTGTGTAGACAGTTAACTATGTTAGAAATGTTAAATAGGGCCGGCCCCGTGGCTTAGCGGTTAAGGGCGCACGCTCCGCTACTGGCGGCCCGGGTTCGGATCCCAGGTGCGCACCGACGCACTGCTTCTCTGGCCATGCTGAGGCCGCGTCCCACATACAGCAACTAGAAGGATGTGCAACTATGACATACAACTATCTGCTGGGGCTTTGGGGGAAAAAAAAAAGGAGGAGGATTGGCAATAGATGTTAGCTCAGAGCCGGTCTTCCTCAGCAAAAAGAGGAGGATTAGCATGGATGTCAGCTCAGGGCTGATCTTCCTCACAAAAAAAAAAAAAGAAATGTTAAATAGGAGGAGGGCAGGGGAAGGGAAGAAAGGATAAGGCACAGCTGTATAATGACTTGATACAGTGTTTCATTCAAATGGGGAGAGTTAGGGAAAAAATTGAATAGGTAAAGATAGGAGGAAAACCCATTTAACTAAATGTTAAAAAAAGACTTCATTTTAAAGAATTGACTGATGTAGATGAAGATCCAAACTTGAGAGAGGAAATTGTTTCCAAAAGACTTTATTGTGATAAAGTATGGAATATAAATGAGAAAATAAATTTAGTGATGTCCATAGGCTCAGTAGAGGGCCATGGAGCCCATCACCAAATTATATATTTTAGATAGCAAATAAATAGAACTTAAGTATAAAACAATTTAAGTAATGGGTGCTGTGGTCTAAGAGATGCTTAACTGGGATGTTGGTGCTTAACTTTCATAGCAAATTGTAATGGGAAAAGGACAGAGCTCTCTGGCTTAACAAGTGGCAAGTTTTCTAGGTAAATAATTGACTGACATAGAGGTAATGAGATGGTAAAATATGAAACCAGGAACTAGCTTCAGCATTTTGAGGATGAATATATTTGTTCTTAGCGGATATTCATTATATTTGAAAGGAGATATGAAAAAAAAGTTTTAAGTTTTACTGAAGATGTTTAAGAGTCAACTTTTACTTGCACCATTCCTACATGTGTATTCACTCTGGATATGTGACAAACTTCATAATTAACCTGCAACAAAAGTAGCAAGAGTTCTCACCTATCATCCTGCCACTGATGTTCTTCTGCAACTCCTTGAAAAGAGGACTTAACTGTTTCCTTACTGATTTCAAAGTGTCTTCCAGGAAGTCCGTGAGGCTGGACCACATCTGCAGCTTTGATTCACTGAAGTAGATGGAAGGGGGAGCTCTTTCCCACTGTCGTCCCAGCCAATCACTGAGAACTGAATTGTTTTCTCCTTTTATTATTGCAGATTTTAGCACAGATGAAAGAATTCTACTTCTTGTTTATAGTACAAAAAAACTTAGTTGCATTTGTATTAGGCTTATTATCTTTTCTTATTAGAAGACTAAGCTAAACATTCATAGTCTGCTTTCAAAGGTAAGATTAGAAACTCAAAAAGGATGCAATGAATAATTTCAAATGTCTATCTACTCTTTGATAGAAAAGGTTGACATATTATATTTGAAATCAAAAATTAAATAGCTGCTGAATTTGTGCATCGGGAAGCAGAGTAGGCATCTAAGTAAGAATATACTGTTTTATGTTTACATCCCCAAAATGAAAATACAAGTAAACCCTACTCTGCCTGGTCTCCCCATCATGCCATCCAAAGTCATTCCCCTCGTAGCCAACCCTGTATCTTTCTTACATCATGTCAAGCTGCTCTCTCTCTACAAATATCTCTACATGACTGTGTGGGTGCTTAAGAAAGTTTCTCTCCTTGAAAATCAATTACTGAATGATACAGTGCCATGTTAAATTTGATTTTCTGTCCTGAATGGACAGACTTATTTGATTCCCCTCCCCCCATTTTTATTGATCAATGTGAAAATCTTTATAACATGTTCTTCTAGAAAGTAAAAAGAAGAGAGCGAAAAGGAAAATGAAGGGGAGGACGAGGAGACAGAGTAGGAGAAAAAGAAGGAAACTTGTTCCGTAAAAGACAGCGTCTGTGCCCTGCTATGCTCTGCTGGCCAATTCTTCTCTCCATAGCCACAGATGCTATCATTTGGTGCTGTTGCTGTATAAACTAAAATTAACAAGTGACTTCTGCAACAAAACTCTTAGGTCAATGTGATTTTTGTGGTATCAACATGGAATCTCTTCCCTTACAAGTTTCCCAAGCATGCTGACTTTTCCAGTCTTGAAAGACCCTTGGTGTTTGGTATTAGAGACTACATCACTCCAAGCCCTGTTTGACAGGAGGTGAGGAAACCATCAGTTATTGTAGCAAAGCAATTGGGTTCTCTTGCTGGTCAGCCAATGTTACATTTTGATCCAATATTTGCAGCCTTAGTATCTAAATGAAACTTTGCTTCCAGGTGTATTTTATCTTTGTTTCTCCTCTCAGATAATGCTACTGAAATGGAACTTGAGTAAGCCTCCGCACCATCTCCTTAAAACTACAATTCATTTTTTCAAATGAAACCATATTGGTCATATTTTACTAAGAAAAATTATTCTTTGCACTTATTATTTCTCTAGATTAGCAACTATAAATCTTTGTTTAACTGTTAAAGACGAAGTTTTCAACAAAGTTTTTGCAAATGATGGTTTGAAGCAAATATGTACAATGAATAATCCCATCCTAAGCAAATAACTGAGTGACAAGAAATGACATAGTTGGGAAGTGATGGCATTCCTTCAGAGAAGAAATGGAAGACAGTAAATGACATCAGCCAGAATCAATATTACTAGCTGTGCTTTGTCTTTTGGTGATCCAGGAGTTGGTGGACATTATTGAGCATGGTCAGCCCCCATACACACTTACTGTGTTGGTAGGAGCCAGTTGCAATCCCAGTGGGGGCGGTAAACAACGTGCCGCTGAGTCGAGACAGCTGTGAGAGAAACTCCGTCCCTGCCTCTGCACAGTCAAGAACACTCTCGTTAGTTGACTCACAGGATTTGCCATGGAACAGTGAGGTGCTACTCAGGAGCACTCAGAAACTGGTCAAGAAAGGCCACGACCAGTTCTCATCTTCAACTCAAATACCTCACGGAACAGCCTGTCAGACTTCACAGCCCACCCTAAGAAGTCCAAACACTGATTGATGAGGACTGAACAACAGGGTGGAGGACGAGAGCGTGAAGTCTGACCTGGTGCTTATCTTCAAATGTGGAATCCTTGGGCTAAACAGAGAAAAGTCTACATATATTTTCTAAAATAGTCTGACTCTAAGGGGAAGTCTCCTTGTAAGAGGATAGATTTCAAAGTGTTAAACACAGGTTAGAACACAATGGTCAAAATTTGGCATTAATTTCACCCCTTCTTCAGTGATCCTGCATAGAGACTGAATCTTTGAATTCAGCCTGTAGATTGAATTACTTAGAATGAAACTAATATATTGGAAAATATATTTTAATTCTTTGGGGTCCAAGAATAAATAATTACTCCAAACTGCTTCAGTTGCTTGGAACTAGATGGCAGCAGCTGAAATGTTGGGAGGTCTCTCATTGGTGTCTGATGTTTTCATTGACAAATAGATCAATGAAATCAAGTAGAGAGTCCAAAAGTGTACCCACAGATATATAGTCAATTGATTTCAACAAAGATGCAAATGAAATCCATCAGGAAAAGGATAGTCTTTATGAGGAATGGTGCTGGAACAATTAGATATCTATATATTAAAAGAAAAAAAAAGAACCTTAACCCATATCTCTCATTCTATTAAAAAAAAAAAAATCAAATGGATCACAAACCTAAATGAGAAACTTAAGACTACAAATAATTTAGAAGAAAACATAGGAAAAATTTTTGTTACCTTTGGTTACGTAAAGAATTTTAGATTTAGATTAATGACACCAAAAATTTAGATATGACACCAAAAGCATGATTTATAAAAGAAAAAATTGACACATTTGACTTTATCAAAATTAAGAATTTGTCTTCAAAAGGAACTGTTCAGAGAAGGAAAAGATGTCATAGACTAGGAGAAAATATTTGCAAATCACTTTTCCACAATCCACTTTTCCAAGATCTCTCAATAAGAAAACAATTTAATTTTTTAAATGAGCAAAAGATTTGAACAGACACATCATCAAGGAAGACAAATGAATGGCAAATAAGCACATGAAAAGATGCTCAGCATCATTGGTCATTAGGAAAATGCAAATTAAAACCCCAATGAGATAGCACCACACACCCATTCAAATGGCTAAAATTAAGACGACTAGACCATGTCAAGTGTTGGAGTGTTGGGCAACTGCACTTCTCGTATACTCCCAGTGGAAAAGTAAAATGGTACAACCACTTTGGAAAACAGTTTGGTTGGTTTTTAACAAGTTAAACGTACACTTACTATATGACCCAGCCATTCCACTCCTAGGTATTTACCCAAGAGAAATATGTTCACGGCAGCTTGATTTGTAAAAACCAGAAACTGGAAAGATTTCAACTATCTATCAACAAGTGAATGAATAAACAAACTGTGGTATATCTGTACAATGCAATAATTCCCAGCAATAAATGAGCCATTGACACAAGCAGCAAATGGATGAATCTAAAATAATTATTCTGAGTGAAAGAAGCCTGACAAAAAGGAATGCATACTGTATGGTTCCATTTATAGAAACTTCTATAAAACACAAACTAATAAACTGTGAAAGACAGCAGAGCAGTAGTCGCCTCAGGCTGGGGGTGTGGAGAAGCAGGATTGAGAAATTACAAAGTGGCATGAGGAGACTTTTGAGGGTGATGAATATGTTCATTATCTTGATAGTTTTATGGTTTCAGAGGGTATGAATACACATATGTCAAAATTTATGAAATTGCACACTTTTAATATGTACAGTTTATTTTACGTCAATTACATCTTAATAAAGCTGTTTAAAATTTTTTAAATAATGCCGAAAAAAAGATGGGTATTCGGTTTTTGGCTAACGCAGTAACTGGGTGAATGACGATATCTTAACCGAGGAATCCTGGAGAAGGGGTAGGTTTGGTGCTGGGGAGGCAGTCAAGAGTTTGTTTTAGATGTGTTAACTTTGAGATGCCTATTAGACATGCAAACTCAACATCCATAAGAAGATGTCAAAGAGGAGCTAGATACGAGTCTGCAGCTCAGAGATTTCAGAGCTGAAGATATGAATTTGGGAGTCTTCAGAAGATAGACTGAATTTAGAGTCATGGGAATAGATGAGACTGCCTATAGGAAGAGCGAAGTCATGGAAAAGGAGAGAGCCCAGGATCACACCACAGGTACATTTTAGGGTCTCGCCAAAGAGAAGGAGCTAGCAAAGGAGACTGAGAAGAAGAGGCCACTGAGGTAGGAGAAAAACAAGGAATGTGTGGTATTAGGGAAACCAAGAGAAGAACCCCATTTGATATTTATGCCATTAAAATAAAGTTAGGTCAATAAGAACAATTGTATTACTTTTTCCAACAGTCTTCATCTGCTTTCGTGCACGCATGTGCAGATGGTTGTGTTTTAACCAGCACTGGGGTTTAGCCAAGGTGAGTTGGGATTTAGCCAGGAGAAAGACAAAGAAGTTCAGATTCTTTGCAAAAGAGTAATGATAATGATGGACCATTAAATCCAAGTTTAACAAGGAAGAAACCAAGGATAAAGGCATGATGATAGTGAAAAAGTAGGAGTGTGTGGACTGGAGGTCTTCAGGGAAGAATTGCTGATGTGGGAATACTTGAGTATGTACAGGATTTGGAAGTGGTACTCAGACAGCAAAGTGCCTGAGATCAAGAGGCCAGAGGTGATGCAGCTACTGGGGGCAGGCTCAGGAGTGACGCTGAGGTGGTCTGGACTGAGCAGTCAGGGTCTGCCGGCTGGACGAGTATCTTGATGGCTCACCCAGGGGGAAACTGCACTGGACGAGAATTTCAGGGATGGATTTAGGGCCCAGAGTGATGGCGGGAAATCTATTGTTTGAGTGCCATTAAGTTTCACTTGAGACAGTTTTTATGTCACTAAACCCATTGTTCTGTCCCTTTTGCCCTTATTCTCTCTGCCTTGCAGGATTTTACTTCCTATATCCTTTTAATACTTTACTTCCTATATCCTTTTTTTTCTTCTAATCCAGTTAAGAAATTTGCTTTGCTCTCATTATAAAAGTAATACTAGTTCATTACAGAAAACAGAGGCAAATAAAAGAGATAAAAGAAAGGGAAAATAACAGAAGGGAAGAAAACGTACTTATCATCCTATCCAACTACTGTTATCACCACCAGCACCCTCCCCACACAGATGCAGGTTTTAAACACTGGGATCACACCATCCATATTCTCTGTAACCTGCTCTTTTAAAACTAATTTCAAAAGTAGAAAATTTGAAAAACACATCTAGAGATAGATGCTCTTAATATTTCGCTATATTTCCTCCTACATTTTTCTACATGTATTTTCTAAGTAATTGAGATTATATAATTGTAATAACTGTGTAAAAATATTTTTTACACTAATTTGTATTTCCTTTTCTTTTAAACCCCATCCCATCCTTCTGTTTTTTCCTTTCCCCTGGTTGAAGCCCACCAGGGGCATGCTTTGCATGTATTGAATTGTCCAGAGAAATTTGAGGATTAAGAAGAACTTTAAAACTCACAGTTCCCTAAGGAACAGGTAATAAGAAACAATTTGAGAAAATTTAATTTCACATTCCCTCACCCCTGCTCTGCTTGGTGAAAAAAACATAGCCCATGAATGCAGAGTTTTTATTTAACAGATATCTAAAAAGTGAATTTGACTTAATGTTTCTGAAGTTTCCCTTCAGGTACTGAAATCAACTTTGAATTACAGTGGCTGATATTAGACAGGCAGGCACTTAAAATTATATCAGCAAGCACACTCATCTTACTTCACCGTCTTTAATATTCTAATATTCCTTAAGTATTTATATTATTATTTATTTTTATTATTTAAGTATTTATGCTATTTTGATATTCACAAGTGTTCTAAGGTAAGGTACTGTTATCCTAACTTTCATATGAGGAAAGGGAGGTCCACACACTTTCCTGAGGCCACCCAGCTGAAGTGGTACCAGGAAGATTCAAACCCAAGGTCCCGGGTCACTGAGTTCATGCTTGCTCATTCTGGGTCTGGCACACAGCAGGAAGAGTCTTCTCAGATTGACTGAGAAGATTCAGTGGTTTCTGTGCTGGTCAGGCACTTTCCTCTGTATTGTGCAAGCTAATTTTACAGTGTTTTCCAGAAAGAAATAGAAACAATGTTCCTGGCTGGCTCTTGCCACTAGTGACTTTATTTCTGGAGGGAAAGGTTACTCTGACCACTAACCCCAACCCTTTTCCCCCTAAATACCTGAGTATACGAGGTATACAGAGAAAAAAGAAATAGAGAGTAAATATGACTGAATCCTTTAAAATGAGGGCATTTCACAAATTCACAACATATCATCATAAAGTAGGCATGACCTTTCAAAACTGACCTGATGCTCCGAGTGGTACGAAGAGGTCCACATGACCCCCTTCTTCTTCAGGGGCCACATAGCTTCCTAATTTCTCCCAGAAGTCTCTCACCTCAGGCCTCAATAAATTTTTAATACCAATTTTGTAGCCTGAGGAAAAAATCAAGATGTCATCTTAGTTTGTAATAGTCTCATGAACAGAAACTCTCAGCAGTTTGTGAAAGTGCAACCACAATCCACATGCCAACATCTGCTCCTAAGACCAAGATCTGCAGGGCACCTTCGCCTCAGCGCTGCACCACGTGAGGGCCACAGAAGGTACCCGGAGACTCTGTCGGACATGGCACGGCCTCCCTCGTGTTCTGGGTTTACTGGACACCATGCACTCGGGGTGAGGACGTGTCTCTGCCTCCACTGTGCAGCGGTGCCAGTCACCAGGCTCGAGGCAGGTTTAGGGTGGGTCGCCAGTCAAGTCCTGGGACTTGGCAACCACATTTCAAAATAAAAATGTTTCCCACAACTGTTTTTTTTTTTTTTTGATTAAAAAATAAGTCATCAGAGCAGAAGTAAGGCTCCCAGAAATGGTGAACATCACTGTCACTCTCACTTCCTGGGAATTCCGTGCGACAATTCAGCTAATCTGCCTGTCTGGACCCATTTCTAAAGAAGTCCTGGAGACTCTGCATTCCTAAGCCCCAGGAATAAAATGAAAACTAAGTCAGGCACAAGAATCCCGACAGTTCACTCCTTCACATTGAGAGGTCTAGATACAGAATGGAAGGACCTCTTCAGGTGACTGGAGTAAGGGTTCCATTTTGTTGTTGGTTTTAAGGCAAAAGCTTTTTGAAAAACACCACAATTATACAAAAGGAAACTAGTTTTCTGAGGTATTTTGTTATTGTTACCATTGATTTACAAAAAGAAAACAAGGAAAAGGCAGAGTTTGGAAACGTTTCTATCTGGAGAACAAAAGTCTGAGATCAGGAAACCCTAACGGGCTCGTCTGCTCCATGTGAGATGAACCCACCGTGACGGATAAACTTGCAGTTGGTACCTCTCCACCATTTAGAGAAGGGCTACCATGCAACTCATCATAAATTTAAATCCCAAATAGTAGCTGTGCTTTACTTTTTGGGGATATATAAAATAGAATGTGGAACACAACTTGCTCCAGGCACAGATAAACTAAACAAGAAAGGCCAAAAGTAAGGTAAAACTAAACCGAAAACAGTTCATTTTTACTAATAATAAAATTCACTAAAACTATTCCAAGAATGCTGAGTTCCAGCCACAGAGGAGCAGTCTGATGGGTGATTCAGGTACTCACTCTGCCATTTCGTGGGTCCCTTGCCAGCTGGATCCTTAACCATCTTATTCCCTCTCTTCCCTCACCCCACAAAGATAGAAGATTTCATGTTAGTAAAACTTAAAACCTTCTATTTTAGGTAAAAGCAAGGAAGGATGCAAGTTATAGTATGAAGAAGAACAGCAACTGAAAGTTTACTTCTGAAACCTTCATCATCTCCTTCCCCCAAGAAAGAGTAACCATTGACATTTTATCTTTATTTTATTTTTTCTGGTGAGGAAGATTGTCCCTGAGCTAACATCTGTGGCAAGCTTTCTCTATTTTGTATGTGGGACACTGCCACAGTATGGCTTGATGAGCAGTGCACAGGTCCACGCCTGGATCCGAACCAGAGAACCCCAGGCCACTGAAGTGGAGTGCACGAACTTAACCACTATGCCACAGGGCTGGCCCCATCATTGACATTTTTAAAACATGGGCCATAACAAGTTAATGATGTCAGCCAAACCTTTCCTTTGAGGTATAAGTGATTTGGAAGTATGATGAATGTTGTTAGCGCACACCAATGTATAGATCTTGGTATGTGCTGCTGTTAAAACAGCTTCACTTTCATCAACCTTAAAAACTTTTGTGCATCTAAGGACATAATCAAAAGACTGAAGGGCAGCCTATAAAATGGGAGAAAATATTTGAAAATAATATATCTTATAAGAGATTAATATCTAGACTAGATAAAGAATATCTACAACTCAATAACAAAAAACCAAATACCCAATTAAAAAATGGGCAAAGAACTTCATAACATTTCTCTAAAGAAGATTTACAAATTGCCAATAAGCACAGGAAAAGATGCTCAACATCACTACTCATCAGAGAAATGCAAATCAAAGCCATAATGGATATCACCTCACACCCATTAGGATGGCCACTGTCAAAACAAACCAAACAAAAACAGAAAATCACAAGTGCTGGCGAGGACCTGGAGAAATTGGAACCCTTGTGCTATGTTGGTGGGATTGTAAAATGGTATAGCTGCTATGGAAAATAATATGGAGGTTCCTCAAAAAATTAAAAACAGAACTACCATACGACCCAGCAATTCCACTTCCAGGTACATAGCAAAAGGAATTGAAAGCAGGATCTCAGAGAGATATTTGCACACTCATGTTCATAACAGCACTGTTCACAATAGCCAAGAAGTGGAAGCAACCTAAATGCCCATTAAAGAACGAATGGATAAACAAAATGTGGTCTATACATACAATGGAATATTATTCAGTCTTTAAAAAGGAAGGAAATCCTGTTATATACTACAGCATTGATGAACTTTAAGGGCATTATAAGCGAAGTAAGCCAGTCACAAAAAGTCAAATGCTGTATGATTCCACTTATATGAGGTATCTAAAGTAGTCAAATTCACGGCCGGCCCCGTGGCTTAGTGGTTAAGTGCGCGCGCTCCGCTGCTGGCGGCCCGGGTTCGGATCCCGGGCACGCACCGACGGACTGCTTCTCCGGCCATGCTGAGGCCGCATCCCACATACAGCAACTAGAAGAATGTGCAGCTATGACATACAACTATCTACTGGGGCTTTGGGGGAAAAAAATAAATAAATAAAATTATAAAGTAGTCAAATTCATAGGAACAGAAAACAGAATGGCAGTTCCTAGGGGCTGGGGGGAGGGGAAAAGAGGAAGTTGTTGTTTAATGGCATGATGGTTAATTTTATGTGTCAACTTGACTGGCCCATGGGCACCCAGATACTAGGTCAAATACGATTCAGGGTGTGTCTGAGAGGATGTTTTGCAATGAGATTAACATTTGAATAGGTAGAGTCAGTAAAGCAGATTGCCCTCCCAATATGGGTGGGCCTCACCCAATCAGTTGAAGCTTAACTAGAACAAAAAGGCTGACCTTCCCTTGAATAAGAGGGAACTCCTCCTGCCTGACTGCTTTGAGCTAGGATATCAACCTTCTTAGCAAATTGGAGCTTAAATAGTACTCTGAATGTCATACATGTGGACAAACACTACATCAATGCAAACTTGGTTGTTTTTTCCAATCCCCAGTCTTACCTTGGAGTAAATTGATTTCTCTGCTGTCTCCATCGCTGAATACTCCCAGACTCTGTGCCTTCCGCCCATCCAGAGCTTTCTCTATGAGATAAAGCAGGCTCTCCAAGGTCAGGCCGCTGTGCTCATATACCACGGAGATGATCCCCGCCCGCACACTGTCCACCACCACCTAGAAAACGAAATCAAAGCTGCAGAAGCTGAAGCCATCGTTTGAGAATATTTATTAACAAAATTAACACAACAGAGACGTGACCCTCTGTGATTTTTAAAGACCATTGTTTGTTCAGAAATTATAGAAGGAAGAAGATAAGCTTTCCCCTTCATTGGTTTCTTTTTAAATTATTTTATTTCTTTTCTAATTATAAGAGGAGAAAATTAAGTACACTTGTAACTCAGTCACTCAGAAATGAATACTATTAACACGTTAGGTTATTTTCTTCCAGTCTCTTCATCTTTATACACATTCACGCACAGAGACATATATACAACTTTTAAAAAATAATAAAATGGAGATCATACGATTTTGCAATGGACTTCTTAAATAGATTTAAAGTTTTCCTCTTAATTATGAATTTTTGAATTATCGATACTGATTGATAAATATTTCCCATTTAAATAAATATTAAAACCACTGTTCTTTCAATTCAACAACCAAATCAACTTTTCATTGTAATAAAGTTAATTCATTAGCAGCAGATAGGTTGGAAACTCATTGATGTCACTGATTTTTCCCAAAACCTCATGCCACTGTCTGGAGGTCACAGTTCAACTAAACGCCCACCACATTCGTAATCAGATAAGTGACTATGGCATAACCTCATGTAAAGAAGACGAATGAGAGAACGGACTTATTTTACACCAGTTTATTCACCCGCATGCTGTCACAAGTATCCTCTGTGCCCAGCAGGATGTATCTACACACCAGGAGAACTACCTGTGGCCCACAAGGAAATCAAAACCCTGATCTTGCTTTCATGTGGATCCCCTAAGCTAGCCGATTGTAAATTATTAGAGTCAATTCCTAGACGCCCAGAAAGAGAAGTGATTTCGTATCTTGAAAGCAATCATTTTGTTACAAATAGGAATTTTTTTGAAAACTTTCTAAGTAGGCCAATGAATTTAACCTACTGACTGTCAACCCTGTGTGTGTATGAATGCATATATATGTACACATATATACACACACCTATAAAATACATGCTTCCTATGTCCTCTTTGTGCTTCCTTTATCTTTCTTATCATTTATATTATAATTAAAACATAAAATTTATTATACAAAGAACATATTTTAATTTAATGGTGCCCTCATTAAACAGATCACAAAATAGGATTTCCGACCTTCTTCTTTTGAGAGATGGTGGTTACATGATATTATTAAATTCCTTGGCCATTCCAAAGAAGTTGTAAAATACTTCTTAATCACCTTGCTCTTTTTTCAATTAAGTGCAACAAATTCAATTCAATAAGAATTTTAAATAAGATTTTTAAAACTGTTTTGGGTCTGTAAATTTCCACCTAGATCAGACCATGTTCCTTTTAGATGAATCATTTTCATATACACGGTGGCCAGAAGACGGCCACACATCCTCTAGTGTCGATGAAAAAACCCAATTCAGAGATAAACCAACACACGCACAGATAGAACTGTTTGGTGGTTACCAGGAGCTAGTGGGGTGGGGGGGTGGGCACAAGGGGTGAAGGGATGCACTTATAGGGTGACTGATAAACAATAATGTACAACAAAATTTCAAAATTAAAAAAAAAGTGGAAAAAGAAAAATCAGTGATGTTGTAACGTAGGTTATTTAGATAACCTTAAAGCAATTAAAATCTGAACGTGGTTGGTCCAAATCGGGTAAATTTAAGAAAAACCTTTACAAAAATTATTTGTTCATACTAATCAGACTCATCAGGTAATTTTTCACCTATTTGTTGAATAAATATTTAATAATTAAAAAAAAAAAAAACCCGATTCAGGAAGAGCGGGCCCCTAACACACTCGTACCTCATACGCAGGGATCCGAGATGATATTAATATGAAGTGTAGCTGGGAGGCATATGAAGAGCTGTCATCATTTTTATAAACTCCTCGCCAATTTTTCTTTGATAGTAAAGGGTAGGAGTGGCTTCCAGAAACATTGCTTCTAAAGGGGAATAAGTGAAGTTTTAATTTTCTCTGAATTTGATTTGATACGTGAGCACCAGTTATACTATCCAGGGCACGTGGCCTCAGGGCCTGTCTCCTCCTGTGGTTTTCGGGGATAGCAGCAAGGGGGGCTCCCCAGCAGGGGGCCAAAGCTGTCCTCTGGCCTCTCCTCCACATTCGTGGGACACCGGAAGGGTCTCCTGGAACTGACTTAGCTTTTGTTGGGCACTTAAAATGAGTGTAGTGACATACCTAGGGGTTCAGAACAACATTTTAAAAGGGAGTAGCTGAGAAATTTTTAATTTCCTAAATTGTCTGGGCCTCACAGCTTTCTGAGTGATGTCTCCATGCTCCCCAAAGCCGCCCCTAACCTACATTACCATCTGGCTACGCTTATTCCATAAAACACGTTTCTGGAAAAATGTTATTTTTGCTCAATATCTTTATACAGAAAATGAACTACCTCCACAATATAACCTCTTTGCAGGGTTAAGAATATTTGAAACATAAATTTTGAGAGTTATATATTTCCCTCTTCAGAAAGCACGTTAAAGACCACTGTTCTTGCAGACTAAGGAATTATTTCTATTGATATTTCATAGGGTATGAGCCATATAACTATAGAAGACCCTGCATGTTTGCTAAGTTATTCTAGAATGAATTCTTGGTATCGTGGCATGGTCTTGAGCCTTCAGGAGACGGAGGTTTACTTACCGCTTGGGCAAAGCTTCTAAGGATGACAGAACAAGCTGTTTCTCCACAGCCTCCTGCAATCCCACTTGACCCCTGGCAGTCTGGGAGAGACGTGGCTGGCATTTGGATTTTAACAGTTCCGAGCAGCACGTTCCACTCGCCCACGGGGGTCGCAATTTGAATAACTCCTCTGAAAACAAAAGAAGTAGGCTTGGCTCCCAGCCACACGACAGAGATAAAGCATCTAAAATCTAGCTGGACCAGGGCAGTACTCCAAATGGCAGTAATTACAGCCATTTTTACAGATTCTGTTTGATTTCTTATCCTCTCAGCATTGTGGCCACAAGTCCCCAGTCGTCTCAGATCGAGAAACAAAACTCAGAGTACGAGCACCTCTTTCCTGTGGAAACTGGTTAACCAACTGATGGGCTCCACAGCCGTTTCTGCCCTTCCTGGCTGCAGGTGACTTCCCAGGCCCTCACAGAGGTGAGTCAGCGGAAAAGCAGGCGGGAGAACTCAACCGGTCTCGGTGATTCCTTCACACACCGTGCAGATCAAAGGCTTAGCCAAAAACGTGTGGTCCCTGCTCCCTTTCCACTGTTTTTAATGCCATTCTTCCTGCTCCCTCCCCATTTTCATTTCTCCTCCTTTTCACCAATTCTTCTGAACTGTCCTGAGCCTATTTATTTGCTGTTGCCTGTGTTGGTACTTTTCTCTTCTCCTCGTCTTTGGTCTTATAAACTGAGGGGAACTAGGACAGCAATGGAGGCACTGATATTGACCTTATATAGTTCATCTGAAATCCTTTTGTTTTTCTTAATTAACTCAAAATATATAGTGAAGAAAAAAAGAGTTTTTCCTCAACATACTTCAGAGAATGCCACCCACACGCTATTGCAGAAAGACAGCGCTATCTTCTCTGTGGGAATCTGTATGTAAATCCATGTTTCTATAATACTTGGATAAGATACAAAGTTTTAAAATGCCACTCACTCTTACGTAGTGCAATTTTCTCCCAAATTACTTTCCTTAGGCGCCTTTCTCTTTGTCTCTCCTGCAGCTCCTCCTCTTCTGTTTTGGGTTCATTCAGGGTCCCATAAATGGCAGCAGCTTCTCTAGGTGTCAGCCAATCTAAGTTGGACACACAAGCAATGTAGTGGTGCTTCCAAGCCCCGTACTCATTACCTGCTGGAGTGTAGGGCAGAAACCATCCAAACTTAGTGCATTTGGGCATCCATAAGCAATCCTTCAGAAAGAGAAATGAAAAAGATGCATTGTAAAAATTTTCTAAGGACAGTTTCTAGTAACGTTTTCAGGTACACAGATGACTTTTATTACTACATTGACATTTCTAGTGCTGTTGATCTAAACCTAACTCTGAGAAATAAGAAGCATACCTTACCCCACAGGAAAAATACTCTTTGATGAACATACATAGAACATACATATATATATGTTAGTTATCTTTGTACACTTATCCAGTGCTCCCACAGCATCTGGTTACTTTAACCCTAGATTCTGAGAATTCTGCTTCTAGCAATGGTGTAGTAGTTTGTTTTGGACCAACCCTCCCACTGGGAACAACTTTGAACCACGTGATATTGCCAATATGCAACCAGTTTTGATATATGAAAACAGCAAATTTCGGGCCGGCTCCGTGGCTTAGCGGTTAAGTGTGCGCGCTCTGATGCTGGCGGCCCGGGTTCGGATCCCGGGGGCGCCCCCGAGGCACCCCTCTTCCGTCCAACGTGAGGCCGAGTCCCACGTACAGCAACTAGAAGGATGTGAACCTATGACATACAACTATCTACTGGGGCTTTGGGGGGAAAAAACTGAATAAATAAAATCTTTAAAAAAAAAAAAAAAAAAAAAAGAAAACAGCAAATTTCATGTGGTTTAATCTAATCAAATATCTAGACAAAATATAAAACATTTATTTGATGGCATTATAGAGCTACAATACAACAAGGACTGTGCAACCAAGACCCCAGCGAGCAGGGAAATCCAGAGAGGTGAGCCTGATATTTGGCATCACTTTTCACTTCAAGGCAGGTGACAGTTCCAAAGTAAAGTTCAGGCTGAGAAGCAGAGCAGAAAGTTATGGCTGAAAGACAGAGAAGCAATAAAGAATTTTAGGAGTCCCAAAGGGAAGAGAAGAAACACATTTAAACTCAGGGCCCAGTAAGCGGAAAGCCGTATTCATCACACCAGGCTTTCAGTTGAGACTCTTTCCAGGTAAAGATAAGGAATTAGACAAACTATCACAAAGCCTGAAGTGAGGTTTGAAATATCTCATTCTCTGATTAGATTTAAGTGATCTATTTCTAGCCTAACCAAACACCAGAAGCAACAGCAAATTCTCTCTGCAGGAAGGTCACATCATCCAGAGACTCAGATTACGGCATCAGTTTTTGTGCTGAATATCTGGTACTCAATCCAAAACACCAGGCACGCAAAAAGACAAGAATTGTTTGTTTCTTCTTTTGTGTTTTAGTAAATAGAGAGAGACTATCAGGAGATCCAGACGCTGTAATTATCAGGCATGAACTTTAAAAAAAAGTCTATAATTAATATAACTAAGAAATTAAATGGCTAGGTGAAGAATTTTGTCAAAATAATCAAATCAACATTCTAGAACTGAAAAATACAGTAACTGAAATTTAAAACTCAATGGACCAGTTTAAGATCAAATTAGAATCTAGCTAAAGAGATAATTAGTCAACTGAAAGATAGGCCAGAAGGAAAATCCAGACTGAAATCCTAAAGACCTAGGATGGAAAAGACACAGAAGAGAATATGAAACTTACAGGACATGGTGAGTCAGCCTAACATGTAAGTGCTGGGATCCCGGAAGAGAGCGAGTAGGGCAGAAGCAACATAGAAAGAGACAGCATCTGAGAACTCTTCAAAATTGATAAAAGATATTAAATCTCAGATTCAAAAATCACTGCAAAGCACAAAACAGGATAAATACACATACACACACACCTCTAGGTATTGAGATAGGTAGTTAGGTAGACATGAGTGGGGGATCATAGTTGGAGACCTTGCTACATCAATGGAGCATCTTACTGGCATCCAGACATGAGCAGAGGAATCACAGCGGGAGACCTCGCTACATCAAAGAAGAGTCTTGCAGGCATCCCATAAGACACAGATAAAGAGGAACTAAGACCCACCTGGTGCCGCCACCAGAGTCTGAGACCTTCAACCACGAGGATAAAGATAATGAGTGCTCAGACAGCACAAAGCCTTCTGCTCTACACCCCTAGAGGACATGACCTTTCTTTAATTTACATACAAATTCCATATGCATGAGCCCCCCCCTTCCATGGGGATGACTGCCATGACAGTTCCGGAGGTTCCCCTAGAAGGTCAAGAACTCCCCCTCCCGAAGTGTGGGTGGAGGAAAGACCATTATTGGCGGATAACGAGATAATGCTAATTCCCTCTAAACAGCCCAAATAAAAATAAAACTAGCCCAAGACTCGGGGCAGATGCGTTCTCCGGCACTGCCTGCTCCTCTCTTTGAATGTATCTGACCTTTCCTCTAATAAACCTTTGCTTGCTTGCTGCTGCCATTGTGTCATGTCTGAATTCCTCTCTTAACGCTAAGAACCTGAGAGATCAGACGGTTATAGTATATCATAATAAAATTGTGGAAAACCAAAAAACAGAGGGAAAAAATCCTAAAAGCAACTACAGAAAATAGAAATATTACCTTTAAAGGAACAAGAATAAAACTTCCTACTTCTCAAAAAAAAAAAAGTTATGGAAGCCAGAGAACATGGAAAATTGTGCAAGTTCTATAAAAAATTAACTGTCAACCTAGAGTTCAAATTCCCAGTGAAAATATCTTTCAAATACGAAGGTGAAATAAAGACATTTTCAGAAAAAACTAAGGGAATTTGTCAGCAGCAAGCGACACTAAGAGAAATATTAAAGAGAATTCAGAAGGAAAATGATCTGAAATGGAAACTCAGAGCTGCAGGAAGGTAGGAACAGCAACAGAAAAGTAAATGTGGTTACTCATAAATAAACATCAACTATATAAAACAATAGTAATAAAGTCTGGTGAGGTTAATACATATGTAAATATTTAAATGTGTTTGGGTATTGTTTATATGTGTGTGTGTGTGTATAAAATTAAAATATTTGACAACAAAAGCATAGAAACTGAGTGAGGTGCCGATGGAGTTAAAGGTTCCAAGCTCCTTGCACCATCTCAGAAGTGGAAAAATAGCCCCATCTCTATGCAGCCATGAAAGAGCTGCAGAAGAATTTATAATCAAAAATCTAAGAAATATGTAAGTTCTCCAAAAGAAGACAAGGAGAGAAATAAAATATAAAACACATGGAACAAACAAAAAACAAACAGTGAAACGGTGGACTTAAGCCCAAATATATCAGTATGTACATAAATGTAAACAGACTAAATTACCCTAGCTAAAAGTCAAAGACTGCTGAAGGTTAAAAAACCAGCACCACTACTGTCTTCTGTTTGCAAGACATATTCCTTAAATATAAGGACACAGAAAGGTTGAAAGTAAAAAGATGGAAACAGTACACGCACACACTGAGTGTGGCATCTGAGATGCTATAACCCAGGGCTTGCCACAGGGCCTCCGCAGACAGCGAGGTGTTCTCTGAGATCAGAGTCTCAACACAAGCCCACCCTGGAAAGTGTGCACAAGTTGAAGAAGCAAATTATTGACTTGTGTTTAAAGTATGTCTACCATTACATTTTATTAAATCTTTAAAAAGGAAATGAGGAGACAAACAGGACAGAGGCAGAATTAATGGCAGAGGATGCTGGAGATGTGGATTTACATTCTTCAACAGAGGGTTCGACAAGAGGGTCAGTTGACTCGGTGGTTGTAAGGCAGTTTTCGAGGTGAGTGATCATGGATAAAATATCATATAAAAACCAAAGCTTAAATAATTTTTCATGAAAAAAATAGACTTCTTCAGGCAAGATAAAATGTTTTCTAAATAATTGAGTATAATTATTTAAAGATTATTAAAATCATATGAATTATTAGAATAGTATATATCCCCTTACTTACAAAATAAATTACTGTATTTAACTTATGCCCATTTCTTCTCTTAAGGATAAGTTAATTATGGTTCAGACGCCCTCAGTTACTATTTTCAGGGAAGGAAGCTGCCCCAGCTGACTTCATTACAGACCACAGCTGTATCTGGGCCCTATTACGAGGACACGACAAGCAACAAACCTGTTCCGTTAAGAACTTCCAGGGCCAGCTGACTTGTGCAGCTGCACACAAATCTTTCGGACTCAGAAAGGAAAAGATATACAGAGACAAGAAGCGTGGTAACACTGTGGAGAAGTCCACTTTGGCTACTTGCATCCTTTCTGAAAACCAGTCTTGGACAAACCTAAAAAGAAAGATACAGAAATTGAGTTCAGAACACTAATATCTAAAATTGACTAAAAATCCAATATAAATATTTGTCATTGTTCTTTCTCTAATGTTCGACCTAAAAAAAATAATTAAATCCTAAATGACATAAGACTAGATTTTTAAAAATACTATATCCACTTGCAATGATCCATTCTAAAGAGGAAGATGAATAACAAAAGTATCTAAAATCCACAGAAAAAAAATCTGAAATAAACCTAGTTTTTTAAGCTATAAATGTTTTTTTTTTCTTTTCCTTTACCCCAAATTCAATAAATCAGCAAGTCCTGGGAGCTCTACCTCCAAAACGTATCCCCAAATCCAGTCCCTTCTCTCCATCTCCCCTGCTGGCCCTCTGGTCCGAGGCACCTCCGCCTCTCTCCTGCACAACTGCAGCCGCCTCCCAACTTTGTCCCTGCTTCCTCCCCAGGCTCCCTACAGCCCATTCTCCACGCGGCAGCTCAATCGGTTTCTTTCAAAGGCAAATTAGATAATGTCACTCGTGCAAGTAAAACCGTACAATGACTTCCCAACGCAATTAGAGGAAAAACCCATGGCTGTCTCACACTCAGTGGTGAAATATTAAAGGCCTCCCCTAACATCAAGAACAAAGTAAGAGGGCCGGCCCCGTGGCTTAGCGGTTAAGTGCGCGTGCTCCACTGCTGGCGGCCCGGGTTCGGATCCCGGGCGCGCACCAACGCACCGCTTCTCCGGCCACGCTGAGGCCGCGTCCCACATACAGCAACTAGAAGGATGTGCAACTATGACGTACAACTATCTACTGGGGCTTTGAGGGAAAAATAAATAAATAAATAAAATTAAAAAAAAAAAAAAAAGAACAAAGTAAGAATGTCCACTCTCACGACTTCAAGTTAGCATGTACTGGAGGTCCTAGCCAGTTCAACAAGACAAGGAAAAAAATACAAGGCACACATATGGGGGAGGAAGCAGTAAAACTGTCTCAATTCATGTAGCATGTACATAGAATCTACAAAACAACCATGGAATGTACAAAATAACCACTTAAATTGTTGAAGTTATTAGTATAAAATTGTTGATAATTTTCTTTCATTAAGATTGGCTCTGAACTAACATCTGTTGCCAATCCTCCTCTTTTTGCTGAGGGAGATTAGCCCTAGCTAACATCTGTGCCCATCGTCCTCTATTTTTGTATGTGGGACACCATCAAGCATGGCTTGACAAGCGGTGCATATGTCTGTACCTGGGATCTGAACCTGTGAACCCTGGGCTACCGAAGCGCACGAACTTAACCACTATGCCACTGGGCCAGTCCCTCCTTTATTATTTTTCTAAGGTTAATAGGATCTATAGCAATATCCCCTTTTTCATCCCTGATATTGATAATTTGTGTTTTCTCTCTTTTTTCCTTGGTTACTCTTGCTAGGAGTTTATCAAGTTTATTACTATTTTCAAAAAAAGAGCTTTTATTTCTATAAATTTTCCCTATTGTTTGTCCATTTTCTATTTTATTGATTTTTCACTCTTTATCATTTCTTTCCTTCTGCTTACTTTAGGTGTTATTTGCTATTTTTTTTTCTAGTTTCTTAAGGTGTAAATTTAGATCACTAATTTTGAAGCCTTTTTACTTTTCTAATATAAGCACTTAATGATCTATTTCCCTTTCGGCTGTGCTTTACCTGCATCCCTCATGCTTGAATACATTGTGTTTCATCACCATTCAGTTTGAAATATTGTCTAATTTCCCTTGTGATTTCTTCTTTGACCACAGGTTATTTATAAGTGAGTTAATTTCCAAATATTTGGGGATAATCCAGATATTTTTATTAATCTCAAATTTTATTGCACTGTTGTTAAAGATATATTTAATAAGATTTCAACATTTTCAAATGTATCTTGTCTTATTTTGCAGACCAGGAAATGATCTATCATAGTGAATGTCATTTTGCCCATAAAAAGAACATATATTTGGAAGTTGGTGGGTTTAGTTTTCTACAAATATTAGGTCAAGTTGAGAAGATTGCTCAGCTCTTCTAAAGAACATTGCAATAGTATAGTCCTCGCCATCCTTTGTGTTCCTGTTGTCACGTATACTGCATCTACTTACGTTATAAAGCCCATAATACATTGCTCTTGCTTTAAACAGTCATATGTTTTTAAAATAACTTTTTTTTGAGGAAGATTGGCACTGCACTAACATCTGTTGCCAATCTTCCACTTTTTCTTTTTTCTCCCCAAAACCACAGTGCATAGTTGTATATCATAGTTGTAGAGTTGTAGCTCTTCTATGCGGGACACCGCCTCAGCATGGCTTGATGAGCGGTGAGTAGGTCCTCGCCCAGGATCTGAACCGGCGAACCCCGGGCCACCACAGCAGAATGCATAAACTTAACTGCTATGCCACTGGGCCGGCCCCATACTTTTTTTTTTAATTTTATGTTTTCCCACATATTTACCATTTCCTGTCCTCATTTCTGCCTATAAATCCAAGTTTCCATAGGTATCAATTTCCTTAGCCTGAAGAACTTCCTTTAGCATTTCTTTACTGCAAGTATTCTGACAACAAATTTTGTCAGTTTCCTTTTACCTGAAAATGTCTTTATTTCATCTTAATATTTGTGGTACTATTATGACCCCATTAATCAGTTTCAATAATTATCACCTCACAGCCCATCCAGTATCTGCTATTCCTTCTTCTTCTTCCCTCACTCCCATATTATTTTAAAGCAAATCCAGGACATAATATCATTTCATCCATAAATATTTCAGTGTGTATCACTAAACAATAAGAACATTAAAAAAAAACATATAATACTATCATCACGCCTAAACAAATTCAACAATAACTTTATAATGTGACATCCATCAAGAAAACGTCTTACGTTGCATTGCACGCCACCTAAGCACAGATGGATCTTGAACAAATAATCTACGGTTTCACCAAAGTGGTCATCTGAGGGGCTATACAGGCCTTAGACCAAAGAGACATTTCATGGCCCATGAAAGACGCACTGCTGGCCCTGCGGCCACCAACTACAAAAAAAAGATACCTAATACGTGATTGTCGTCTTTAGATATTATCAATAGACATGTGCTACAGTCCCAAGCCACCAGATAGGTGGCCGTATTTGAATAAGAATCGCTAGAACAAGAAAGTCTGGAAGCAATCCAGGTATCAGTAAATCAAACTCTTCCTGGAACCTCTAATATCCTCCAAACTCAGCAGAATTAGAATTTGTGCCCAATCTCACAGCTGATTGGAAACTTTGGCAATAAGAACCCACCAGAACTCACTATCCTTGGGCCAGTGAGACTACAGAACTTTTTCTCACTAAGTGGCCACTGCTGCCCTGTTACTGGGTCCTACTGGACACAGACTTACTCACTGAAAGAAAAGTCATGACTCTGAACAGATTTCTTCCTGCAGTGGTTCTTCTCTGACCTAAATTCCCATAGGGTCATAGGGTCAAGCCTCATAGGGTGGGTCAAGCCTCAGAAAGTTCCAATGTGAAATGAAAACAGCACCTCCAGTTAGGGACAAAAAGACCTTGGTTACCTTCATGAACAGGCTGCTGAGCACCCATTAGACACAGAGACAATCTTGACCACAAACTTACCAAACTGCTGGCTTAACTGGAGCTTCATCTACAAGTCTGGGGATAAGGAAAAATTCTACCTTGCAACACAACACCAACTAATACACGTGGAAGGAATTAAGAAATTAGAAAATCAGCTATCATAGTAATAATTGCTTCAGATAAGATTCATCAATGATGATAAAACTCGTGGGCAAAAGTTCGATGAGGAACAGGATATTTATAGATCCAAATACTTTTTAATTAATTTAAAGACTTTTTAATTACTTATTAATTAATAAGCACAGAATACTTAATAATTAACCATCTTCACCAAGTGGTAAAGCCAACATCACGAGCAACGGTGTGTCCCCAGGACGATCCACTGAGAAGAACAGAATCACTTCTGTGGTGTTCCTGCCAAGAACGTATAACCTGAATGTAATCTTGAGGAAATCTCAGCCAACCACAAACTAAACGTCATTCAACAAAGTAGCAGAGTTGTACTGTTCAAAAGTGTCAGGTAAGAAAAGACGAGGAAACACTTGAGGAATTGCTCCACATCAAACGTGGATATAGAGACATGAAAACTAAACACAGTAGGTGACCTGTGTTGGATTCTGCACTGAGAAGGAAAGGACGATTACAACGGCATTGTTGGAACAGTCAAAATATTGGTGGAGTCTGCGGGTCGGATGGCAGTGCTGTATCAATGCTGACTTCCTGATATTGGAGGATATACTCTGATTTTTCAGCAGAGTCCTTGTTTTTTAGGAAACACATACTGAAATGCTTAAAGTCAGTGGGAAATCACGTTTACAACTTACTCTCCAACGACTCAAAAGAATAAGACAAAAATGGTAAAGTGTTAACAGTTGAGGAATCCAGGTAAAAAGTATAAAGGAATCACTTGTACTAGTTTTGCAACTTTTCTGTAAGTTAAAAATTATCGCAGGGCGGGCCCCGTGGCTTAGCAGTTAAGTGCGCGCGCTCCGATGCTGGCGGCCAGGGTTCGGATCCACGGCACGCACTGACGCACCACTTCTCCGGCCATGCTGAGGCCGCGTCCCACGTACATCAACTAGAAGGATGTGCAACTATGACAAACAACTATCTACTGGGGCTTTGGGGGAAATAAATAAATAAATACATAAAAATTGTAAAAACAGAAAAAAAAATTATTGCAAAATAATTTTTTTTTTAAAGAAGAGGCAACTTGCTTCAATTCCAAGGTTTAATGATTGCCTATTATTTTGTGTGTTTCTACTCCTCTGGCTTTAAGTGACTGCTCTTTCTTGATCCTTGTCCAGGCAGTCTTGTCACAACCCAAGACAAAACAGAGTGGCTTAAAATGAACCTGTTGGCATGCCAGCCTGGGGAAAGTGTGTGTGTGCATGTGCGTCTGTCGTGTAAGCAGGAGGGC